TAATAATAATAATAATAATAATAATCCCTCAAAGTCTGTTCTCCTTTTGGTTATAACCAATTTGACTATTATTCAAATTTGACTATGTGAGCTTGCCATGCCCTTTAATTAACAATCAATAATTCATTGTGAAACCGTATTTAAAATGTTAGAGTAATGGAGAATGATGACAGTAATTTATTTTCTAAATGTACTTCCTTTAGAGACACTGTATTTGGAAAAGTCTACAGTAGTTCTGTCCTTACAAGACAATGATATACAGCTCTTGTGGATTTAATTTCTATATGATAGAAATAGAACCTTTTTCAACCTCTGGCCTCGGGCCATTCCTCCTGACCTGGCTTGAGTGGATTTCAGACAGACACCTGCTTTTGTACGCAACATCTCAGAAAGAGCTGAAAAGCAGGAGTAGCCACTGGGCCAAAAGTGGAATGGTCACTCACGTACCAATTTATGGTAATAACATAGGGTCACCAGATTATTAAACTCTCTGAAAACCGGCTGTAATTAGGGACACTGTGAAGGATCCACTTTCTGTGTGTCTTCTCCCGGTGTTCTCTGGAAATGGCCGTTTTTGTCACAAATTTAACTCATCTGAAATCTACACTGGACTGCACTGTGTCTACACACCCACGCTTCTGTTTGCACCATCAGGGGTATTATCCCAGATATCCTGTCTAAATTCCTCCCTGGGTTTGTGCAATCTGGCATTCCTAGGCCGTGTCCCAATACCCACACTTGTAGACTTGTGCCCTTCATATGCACATTCTCGCTCAAGTCCGCAAGGGTTTAGGGTGTCCCATTTTGATATTTGTGTGTCACAAGGGTGCTCATGTGCGCTCCCAATGTGCCCTTAATACGGAGGGAGACTTTAATTCGGAGAAGACATCCCAAAAGGGAATCACCCCAAATTCTTTGCGAATTGGTGACGTTTTATGTTCTAGCCTATCAAAGCGGAGTTCAGTTGCCATGGAGAAAAAAATATTCTCATCCTTCGGTTTACTAGGGTCACCAGAACAGTGGCCATACTGTAGTTTTGTCACACACCTCGTCTATCGAGACATCTTCCATCTGCTACAGTACCTTTTTTACAGCTCCAACTAGTATTAACCAATTGCTCCAGGCCTGGCCCATCAGCACACTCTACAAGCAATAACGTTATTTTGTCCTAACCTTCTGTCCCAAGAATTCCATAATACCAGTCCTGAGCACCTCTCTGGTTGGCCTGCCCCTTTCGCTGTTCTTGTGCTGCTGTAGCAATCCTTTTCTTGGTGTACTCAAGCCCTGTGAAGAGTTACAAATCGGTTACCCTGCTTTTCTTTGGTACTGAAGTCTGCTCTTATTTGATCCCTTTCAAGCTTTCATTTTACCTGTTGCCTTTCACATGACCAGTGTGGCTACTGCACTTGCATGACAGCCTTTTTCACGATCTTTGATAAATCATTCAGTACTCTTTGTTCTGCACACCTCTTTAGAAGTGTAGCATAAGTTAAATGCGGAGGTTTTCTTTTTTGCTTGAACTTCTACAGTACATTTACCATATTGAATGGCTCCTGAGTTGGTGGTTGCCTTGACTAATACGATTTGATTTTAAATGGTTTTGATCAGTTGAGATTTTAGTCATTTTATTGCCTTCCTGGTTTAACGCGTCCCTTCAAAAACAAGTCCTGAAAACGTAGAAATGGACAACGAAGAGATAAATGACCGTGGTATACAGTAGATCTGAAATGGCACAGTGTCAAGCAGTCTAGAGTATCACACTGTCAGATCGGTTTAGAAACTTATTTCCTTTTGTGGCATCCACAAAGCTTCTGAATCCCCGACACCCTTCATTTGCAGAGACAGAGGACTTTATTTACAGACATGGCATTCAATTCATCGGAGCATTCCCTCAGGTCTCGGGGAGCACAGACTTGAAACCATTTGTATTCCTTCTGTGTCTCAGGGCCTCATCCCACGCATTTGTTTTTCATTTTTGGAGGATTTGAAATTGAGAGAAAGAGAGAAAAAAAATCTCCATTGAGACTGGGTGGAAAAGTTTTTACCATTGATTTAAAATTGTTAAATGCTACTTTAATAATATCACATGCTCGTTTTCAACTTCAATACCATGGAGGTATTGTACACAAGAAGCTGAGTCATGCTGTAATACTTGGAGACATTGGATGCACAAATAACCCAATTCCTTAAAGTGTGTTGCATTGATATTATAACAGTTGGGTTTAGAGGTCTTTCTCCCGGTGAATGTATCTTGATTACAGATGTAATCTCAGAATATAATCCTAAAACTGGCTTGAACTGGTGTGGAACTAAGGGTGTTATTGTACTGATTGCACCATGATATATATACCTTTATAACATCTATCTTAGTGCAATAACTCTCTTTTAGTCTGGCTCAGACTCAGTGTAAAGATGACTTTGATCTTGGCACTGCAAGCTGATTGATGCTCCTTCCTGTTGGAGAGCTGGAAAAATCCAAGACACGTCCTCTCTTTTTTAACTCCTACTTGATCCTGTCTTTGTACATGTCTTGCTTTTTAAAAATATACAGTAAATCTGATTTCCTGACCTAAAAGACCATTAACCATTTTAAACAGTCTCCTGGTTAATCACTAGTTTAGCAACATACAGTAGTTGCCATATTTTGAATTTAATATATATGAACATTTTCTGTTTATATTTATCTATAAATAAATACAGTTTGTGAAAATATTGTATATGTAAAACAAAACTAACACTGTACTGTATAACACTATTGCTGCTAATTGCTATCCTCTCTTTTTAAAATTTAACTTCAAAAGTGCCACAATCAATAATACATTAGGAAAATAGTTGACACCATTAATTACAGCTGATGACAAAATCAATTTTGAAATATATATATAAATAATAGAAATACATAAACACCTACACATTCTTAAAGTAATTTCTTCTGAATAGTATCCTCCAGCACAAAACTGTCAGATGTCTATGGCATTTGTAAACCTGCTGTTATTTCTATTAGCCTTGAGTCGGTGATCCACTTCAAGAATGTCTGGCTTAATTTCATAATCCCTGAATAGGAAACACAGTGACCCTCAAAAACAAAACCCAACTACTGTTTCTAAAAACACATTTCTATAATAAGTACCACATTCTGAAACTGAATATTGTACAAGAGATCCTGTACCTGTGATGAATGCAAAACTGTAGGAAAATATTTGACTGGAAATATGATGCATTTCTGGTTGTCTTCTGCTTCAGTAGACAACAGTTTTACTTTTTTTCTGCAAGTTTTGCAAGAACTCTGTGAAGCCCATTATGTTTGTCTGTTTGAAAATCACCGGACAGAATTATTTACAGTGAAAACTTTTATTAACGCAGATCAGGAGTAGAAGACCATTTCAATCAGAGTTTCTGTATGTCTGGCGACAGGTGAGCACAGCTTTCCTTCACTAATATCTGCTAGTTGAGTCTGTTCATGTGCATCATCTGCTGCAAATGCCAGCTGTACTATAATAACAGGCATCCAGAGCTCTGCTTCAGACATTGTCCTACTTTAAGCCACGAGACTAATGCTATGACTAAAACACCACTGTGACTACAGACTACAGGGCTTCCTTTGGCCTTGAGCTAAGGATCTAAAATGGCCAAGAAACTGTGCATTCACTCAGTTGTACAGAGCAGTGAGGATTCTAGTATAGGCAGTTAGGCAGGTTAGGAGAGAGACAAATCTCTTTAGTCATTGGCCCCTTGAATAAAATAAAATAATACTAATATAAAAAAAACTTGGGGGCATTAGGTATGTGGTGGTGTGAGATCTTCTGAGCCTTTTCTGTTGTGAGATCAGAGAAAGGAATCCTCAGTCACGTAAGTAAAGAAGTCAGATATGGACTTCTTAACTGGAAGCTAATGTCTCTGGCAGGTGAATGTGCACTATTTCCTAGTGCTACAGAAGTTTGCCTGCTGTTAGCCCCTTTATGCCAGATAAGAGCCAATTCTTATAACACAGAGATACTAAAGCTTCGCAACTTACCTCTCCTCTCTAAGAAAAACGTCTGTGATTAATCTTTTAATTAATCTAATCCATTTAGAGCAAGATTGTCACTGTTGACATGTTGTGCTCTCAGTTCTATACTCATTAAATATCATGGCTAGTGTGCTCAGTTTGCAGCCCCTATTTTTAAAATGTACTGTAGTGTGATCACAGGAATTACACCTGCTCTGTGTACTACATTTTGGTAAAAAAAAAAATCACAATACCTTTCAAATGCACTTAATTGCTTTTCAAAGGGACAGTTCTGCATTTGCTGTCAAAAGATGCGTTGAGCTCTCACAGCTCACTGGCATTGCCGTTCAACGATTCAAACAAAAGGTTGCCTCCGCCGAGCTCTGCTTCTCTGCGAGCTGTCAGTCCCTGGCAATAAGACAAGTTGTGGTTACCAGGTAGCTGATAAGTTAAAAAAATAAAATGCACTGCAAGTTCTTGTTTTCGTAGAGCTGGCGTGCTTGTCTGTCCCTGCTTCTTGTGAAGATTATTGCTCACCTATTTGTAGTCAACAGCAATATGGTAATGCCTCTCATCAGAGTGAAAACAGGGCCCTTTGAAAAGCCTACATCAGAACTCTCAGAAAACGTCTGTGGGTTTTGGCGCAAAGGGGAGGATGGGAAGATAAAAGAGTGCAATAATGAATGCTATCAACATTCCATTCCGTTTCTTAAGAATTCCACTCGAGGAGGCAGCTGACAAGCCCCAGCACCCTGGCAATGTGTGCTTTTGGGTTCGTCACAGGAACCTGGAGAGGTTTCCATGGAAATGGGGTCAGCACAGTCATAAAAGGAACATTAAATGTCGCTCTTGCTTTTATCTGAGAAGGGCAGGGAGAGGGAGGGGGTGGCGGTGGGGTGGCGGGGTCCGCGTGCCGTCGTGCGCTGTCAAAAAAACGTCTTGTAGTTCCCCCCTTCTTTTGTTTTTAGGTGACATCTGGTATGAAAAAACAACAAAAACAGTCTACAACTAGATGTCAGAGTAGGGGCTCGTATTTAACCGCATGCGGGGGGGGGTGCAGAGGTTAATTGCAGGCTGCTCTTTCCTTCAGTAGATTAGGGTTCAAGGAACTCGCTCTTCTGAGCACTTTTCTGCACTGTGGAGGGCATGAGGGCTCAAAGCTGTCACTCTGCACAGTAGGCAGAATGAAAAAGGATGGATCTTTGGTACCGAACCCGAAAAGACTGGGGGAAATGGAACAGCGGTGTGAGAGAGCCTGACTGTAGTTTGGAAAGTCCCTAGTAAATTCAGCTGAATAGAGCTGTAGAATGCAGTTCACTTTCAGGGTGTAGTGGCAGTCAAAAGATGAACATTGCGTAAGAGGATTAGCTAAGTAAATGTCAGCATAAAGGAAACCTACTCTCCAATACCATATTTTGTAATATATACATTTGCCCTCTTCATGGCTCTAAGGACATTGCTGCTGTGCTGCTGTTTCATACCAACTGTAGTAGGCCCAGTGTCTAGCTGAGCTGTGTTTCTCCTCTTCATTCTCAATTTTATTTTATTGTTTTGCATGAATATGTTGTGCTGGGCGGTCTTTCTACCTGAAAAGCTCCAACAGGATCAAGTTGTACAAATTCTTCTGGCTTCTGCTGCAGTTATGTTTTCTCTGCACCAGGAGAATTCAGTGTCAACAACCTCTTTTGCTTTAAGCGCTTCTTAAATCTCTGGGGCTGGAGGCTGTGGACCCCTCTCATACCTCCACATCATCGTTAGACAGTCCATCCTCAGTCTGCCGGCAGCTATGCTCATTAAAATCCCCCCGAGACAAACTCAGCATCTCTCACACACCCGAAATTACCAGCAGTCTTCTTAACATGACATACATATAAGACATACCATACACACACAGTCAAACAACAAAATAAGCAAGTTTATTTGGAATGGATGGGGCATTATGGATGTGATGATGTACTGAAATACAATTTCTAGCATATTAAGTCAATGCCTGATGTTGACAGCCAGCCGAAAAAAAAGGAAGTGAGGGACAGTTGCTGCTACAAATGGTTTGAATCAATCACAATAGAAACAAAAGCTTCGAACCTCTTTTGATGTTTTAATACTTGCCCAATGCGTTGTGTCTACTGCACTTTGTCACGCTAAACACGAGGGCATTTCATTCTCATATGGCAAAGAAAACACCAATGGAAACAGTGCTGTGAGTATTTTTATCCCTGCACTGTCTGGATAATTAAAATAGTCCCCTGTGTATTTCACATCACTTGCAACCACTTTCGTGCCACTGAATGAGTGATGACAGTAATTACCAAACAGGCAAATAAACAAACAGGGGGAATTAAAGTCCTGGAGGGGAGGGGGGCTGGCGTGCTGTGGCGCAGCGAGGAAGACGAGCAGGTACAGGAAAGTAACGTGGCTCGGGGAGGGGAATGGCAGGGGGCGCAGGGGGCGAAATTTGGGATGAGGCATCTATACTGCCGGCCTCCATCACGCATTGCATTGCTCTTGAGGAGATTCGGGTGGTAGTGGTAGGATTGGGGGGGGGGGTGTGTGTAATCAAGGCAGACTAACCTGTCTGCATCAGCACAGACAGTTAAAAAATAAGCTGTAGCTAACACATTCCTCAAGCTGCCAGCCTTTGACAGCTCTACCGGTAGCAGTGATCCATCGAGAGTGATTCGTTTTCACACAAAGAGTTTCTGAAATAAGAAGAAAGGCGGGGGCGAAGAGTCACAGAAAGCTGTAAGGGAAGAAATCGTAACTACGTTTTCACAGCACCTAAAGAAATGTAAACATTTTAAGAGAGGACTAAAGGTAGGGGTGTTTGCATTCTGACTTCAGTATCAAGTTTTCTTACGTCTGCTTAATGAGTTTCGGGTGTTATTGTAAGCCTCCTCCTGACAGGAACAATGAATAACGTTTAGCAAACACTTCAGATACTCACAGGAAAGGTAATGTGCTCTTGCCCTGGTTAAGAAAAAGAATTTAAACAACATATTCTTTAAGAGTAGAATCACATTAAAAGGAATGTTTATTAGACCGCGTTTGGGTGTGAAGGGACTGAATGATTTAATTTTGTTTTATAATCTATCATTTATACTGGAATCACCATTAATGATTATGGGTATTCGTTTAACTTTTGATTCTCAGATAATCAATATGGATTACTTTATTATTATGAATATGTTACTAATATATACAGTATGTTACTATTTATTATTAGAATAATTTTTTACCTCTGGTTAAAACTGTATGAAAAGCCATATGATTGCGTAGTGCATACTGACACTGCTGAACCAGCTGCCTAGCATCCCACAGAATATCTTGGGAATATGTTTATTGGGTTGTCAAGGGAGACACAACACAACCTTGATGGAAGGGACTAGTGGATGGTGGTACTACAACATCCTGATAAGAGTTAGTACTGTACGAATTGGTTTCCAGTGAATATAGTAACAGGATTTGCTATAGGAGTGTTCTTCACTGACTATTACTTCAGAAACAGTGCCTTTATATACAATTCATATAACTAATCTGCAAAAAAAGAGCAAAGTGTGATTTACAGTACTAATGACTTGTTTCAAGTTATTTCACTATTATTTTTTGTTAAAAAAATATATACAAAGAGTCTGTCTTTATTTTATTATACTTTACACCTATATCATCCCTAAAGAGAAGATATTTAATGATCCTGTGAAGCTATCCCAGACCAGGAGTTCAGATGAGTTTCAGTGTTTGGCACCTGTATTGAAACAGTTATTGACATCGGCTGGAGCCAATGTTCAGAGTGGGCAATCTTCATTTCGTTGTCGAAGATTTACAAAGACTGAATCTCGGATGAATTTACATATCAGCTTCTTTTTTTTTTATTTTACACACTTAACCAGGACTTTGTCCTAGTGAGACACTACATGATCAGAAGACAAGCAAACTGCTTCCTTGTTCTGTAACGCTGTCACTGTATGTGTGTGCTTTGACCAATCTGTCTAGCTCTAATAAGAATGAATATGATTTAAGCATGATTAGAAGTCTAATTAGATAGTTTTGCTTTCCACCACTGAATAGTTTCCCCTTTTGTGAAAGAGTGAGAGCTAATAAATATAGCTCTAATGAACCTATTACTTGTTCCTTTGCTAATAAATATACATTCCTTTAATTCATAGCAACTTCGTGCTCTTAAAGCATAGTGTAACTCTGAAAGGTATTCATGGTAAGATACAAATTGTACATTCTTTCACTAATAAAAGGCTCCTATACCTTACTGATGAACTCTTGGAAGCGCAGAGAGCCGTCATTGACCATCACTGAGATGCTATTCTGACACCTGAATGAGATATTAATTCTCGGTCCTCTCTTCTATGCCATCAGAAATCCTATTGAAAGGTCAGGGGTGTTAAACATAATTTCCTGGCTACATTCACCTCTGGGTTCGTACAAAGTACAACCATGAGTTTGCCTTAACTGGATTGCTGAAGCCTTTTCTCTCAGCTCGCTCCCTCTGAAGTGGTGCCTCATGGATGAGGAAATGACACCTTTAGATCCTTTGGGTCTGCAGGGAGCAATTGATGTAACGTGGCGTGCGTTGAATCACATTGAGGTCCTTTTGTCCGATTCATCTGGTAATGGTGTGCAGAGTGAACCGGGAGGCTGGTGTTTGGAAACCTCAGTGCAATTGAAGACGAATGGGAAGAGAAGAGAAAGGAAAATATAGGAGATTTAAATAGAAGTCCTCTTTCTGTTGTGGTCCCTTGTCTGCACAAAGAATCAATCCCTGTAATAGAATGGCAACATCATATCACCGAGCTTTCACATTATCCTTGAATGTACTGCATTTCTCTTGAAATTCTATTCTGGGATCTCTTACCACAGCCAGCAAATTGATTCAATCCTAAAATTAATCTGCCAGACTGCTGGTATAAGGCCAGTAATGGTTGGCTGGGTGTTGGGAATTGTTTGCTTCCTATCTCAGCCCTACGGAAGTTCATCAGTCTTTCTCAGAGTGAATGGAGCAGCTAATCCCACAGCACTGGAGACCTGAACTTGCTGTCCTGTGGGGAATGGAGAATGTGGCAAATATATTGTCAGCTTCAACAACCACGGGAGGATGGAAAAACACAAAAAACAAAGCAGCGTTACAACTATGAAGAGAGAACAGCAACAGCGGGAAGAGTCCGCAAACATTGAGTTCATGTGCAGGATACAGTATGTGGTAGGGCCTGCATGTGCTTAAGTGTGTAGCCCTGAGAGTGAGAGAAGATGTGAAAGCTGCAGATTCTGCCTCTCAGCTGCATGTCACCCTCAGGCCTCTGAGGGAAATTACACTCCAAACACGTTCTGTGAAAAAAATTCCTCAATTGTTGCAGAGGCTTGACAGTAATGATCACTAGCCCTGTGCTGGGCTATAATTCTGCTCGTTGTCTACGTTCAGCTGGTGTTTAATGCATCTAATGCGGTAACCCCAGGGCATTTCGGCAAGAAGCCAGGGAATTTTACCCTGCAAGCAAAGTGTGTCAGTAACAGAAAGGTCAAGCTACAAGTGGGAAGCCTGACCATTTTCAATGGCATTAACACTACAGGAGGCGGCTAACAGAATCACATCGTTCGCTTTGCAGGTGCAAAAGG